GTAGCCCAGGCTGGACTCAAACTCACAGTGATCCTCCTGCCTCAGCCTCCCCAAGTGCTGGGATTATAGGCATGCACCACCACGCCTGACTTGTGTCCTTTTTCTTTAATGTAACCATAGTTCAGGATAGACAGGGGCCATTGGTCATTGAGAGCCATTTTGGAGGCTGACTAGTACAGACCCATGGAGCTGTAGTGTGGATTAAACTTGTTAATCACAGTCATTCCTTAGTATGCATAGACATTTGCTTTCAAAACATTCCCCTGAAATAAAAATCCCCAGGTACTCAAGTCTATTGTATAGAGTGGTATAGTATTTACCTATAACTTATGCCTATCCTCCCTTTTTTTTTTTTTTTTGGCAGTACCGGGGATCAAACTCCAGAACTTGCACTTGCAAGGCAGGCAACAGTGCCACTGAGCTAAATCCCCAGCCCCCTCCCATGTACTTTAAATCTTTAGATATAATACCTATTAGATATAATGATATAAATGCTGTGTAAATAATGGCTATACTGCATTGTTTAGGGAATAATGACATGAAAAACGTTATTTTTTTCTTTTTCCAGTATATTTGATCATGGTCAGTTGAATCTTCAAATGTGGAATGCACATAGCTGTTTGTGTTGTGAGGCTCTTAATATGGCTGGCCCTTGGCCAGCACATAGCACAAGTTACTTGTTCATTCACTTCTGTACTTCAAGGCTGCAAAGCTTTCAAACTTCTTTTTACTAGACACATAGTTACAACAGCAGTGAGACAGCAGGGTTACAAAATAAGGAAAGATACACTGTAACATTAGGCAGGAGCATAAGCAATAGTCCTAGATATTTGATACAAAGTACTATATAAGAATACTGACATGACAGCACATACTAGGACCATGTTCCCAGAATATTATTTTGATATCTTGAACATAAAACCTAAGTTTGTTTAACAGAAATGATGACAGATGTATTGTTAGGAGACTTTGTCCTTGGAAAACATACTACAGTTTACTTATATAAACCTAGGTGGTATAGGTCAGTCATCAGTGTGGCTTCGAGTCTGGTACTTGCTGCTTGCACACTATATATTTCTACTTTCTTGTTTTTTGTTTTTTAATTTAATTTTTTTGGTACCAGGGATCGAACTTGGGTCTTGAGCTTGCAAGACAGGCAGCAGAACCAGTGAGCTAAATCCCAAAGCTCTGCTTTCTTATTAAGTAGAAAGAATTCATCTAAAATCATGATTAAAAGTATAACAGCATAGTTATTAAACATAATTGAATGTGTGGACTTTCATATGATAGCATAGATTTTTACACTTTCCTCACCACAAACACTTGGATTGCACTACAACAGTGTTACATGACGACTATGTTGTCACTAAGTGATAGGAATTGTTCCGCTTCATTATAATCTTATGCAGCCATCATCATATATGTCATCCATTGTTGACCAAAACCTTGGCGTGACTGGCATGGCTGCTGTTGGCCTGAACTAGAGTAGTGTTTTAGAAATGCACTATAGTATTCAGATTAGGAAATTAATTACATGATAAGTTTAGCTCTGTGGTGCTACTTTTAAATACTATATTGTCATAAAAGCCATGCTGTGTTTAATATTATCTTTGTTTTAAAATATGTAACTTCGTAAGAGAGAAGTAAGTATGTGATTAGAAAAATGTTTGATTTCTCAAGCATTAGCTGTGCTTTGTAGTTGAGTTGATAAGCTCACAGTCTTTACGGTGAGATAAACAAGGTAAGAGTTCGCTCCCTATTCCTTTGTATCCACTTGGTAAAATATCCCTGATGCTGAGCATGGTCGCACAGACCTATATTCCCAGCACCTGGCAGGCTGGGGCAGGAGGATCATAAGTTTGAGTGTAGCCTGAGAATCATAGCAAGTTCAAGGCCAGCCTGGACTACATAATGAGAAACCTTATATGCCCTCCAAAAAAGTACACTTGTTATTTAGTCAAAGCACAGTTTATAGTTGTACATTTATCCTGTAAAGATAATTTACCTCATGAATGGCAGTGGCACAGGGCTTCCTATAGTTAGAAGATTTACAGCTGTATCCACTGCGGGTCCTAACTTTAGAAGTCATGTGCACAGTTGCAGCCTCTTCCTTAAAGCATGCAAAAATAGCAATGCCTTTTTTTAAAAGCTGTTTTGAAGTACACTTAGGGCTAGAGATTTAGCTCAGTGCTTCCACCGCCTACCTCACAAGTGCAGAACTGGGGAGTTCCATCCCCAGTACCTCCCCCAATAATTAAAGTACATTTAATTAGGTTGGGTTAAGAAAGAGTTAAGCAAACTAGTCTAGAACTGCATTATGCAAATACATTATGATTACAATGCCTATGGGATAGCCACTGAAGATGTCCAGTAGAGAACTGAGTATGCATAGCTGAAGGTCAGAGAGACAGAGACCTGAGCTACAAATACAGATGAAATGGTTATTAAAAGTAAATGTAGATATGGTAGGCTGTCCTAGAAATCTGTGTAGAAGGAAAAAAGTATTGGGCATAACCCTACATAAAACTCAAGGAGATAGCCACCAAAAAGGATTTCACAAAGGAGGATTGAAGAGTTAAGAAAACCAGAAAAGTATAATATGGAAGCTAGAAGGTTGCAGTATGAAAAAGAGGTACAAGTGAGCTCTGTCAGATGTGATAGGATAAGACAGGAAAGGATTAAGAAGTGTCTGATGATCGAGATAGTACAGAATTCAGTGATGTTGATGCAAGCACTCTTAATTGAATTGTGAGAGTAGGCCCTACTAAAGAAAATAAGCAGGAAAATGAGAATAAAGTCCATGTTTATCAGCACTCTATTGGACACTTTTGAATAATAGGTGTATGGTTATAAGAAAGTGAAGGCAATGTATATATTTAATTTTTTGAAGAATACTTAAACCTAAGGTGAGGACAATATAGCTAGGAGGAGACAAGGGATAATGAAATGTTTGTTTTATATAAAATAGAAAGTGGACGTCTATAGAGATGGGGAAACGTATTGGTTATGAGTTTTGAAAAAGAGGGCTAACCAGAGGAATAGAGGATTGAGTGTAGTATATCTTTGTTTCTTCAGTAGCATTTGGAAGACTGCATGTAAATTTGAATAGATCATCAGTTAGGTAAAAGATTGAGATTTGTTAACTAAGTGAAGTATGACACTGCAGTGGTTCAATACTGATGGAAATTAAGTCGTGTTGGTCTGAGTAGGGAATTTTGCCTGACAAGAGCAGCAGAAACACAAGGGAATCTGTAAGATGAGACAAGAAGGTGATAGAAGGAACTGCAGTGTTAATGAGTAGAGCAGTAAGGAAAATTTGAAGTGCAATAGAGACCCAGAACCAAAATATCAAGAGGTTCAGGATGAAGTATAGTGAAAAGTTGTTGAGAGCTGGTAGGAGTATGAGATTGATTGGTCACATAATTTCAAAAATAGAGCAGTTATTGGATGATAAAATTCATCCTGTTGGAAATAAAGATCATTTTCATATTAAGGCGAAAGAAAAATGCCAAAATTTTGGACATGTCATTAAGCCTGTTTAAAAGTCTAGTTCACTTATTTTCTTCAGTAAATCACCAGAAGTAGTAGTATTCTTAATGCTCCCCCCCGCTTAAAATTTCTGAAGCGTTTTTGGCATATTACCCTCAAATTTTAATCATCTGATATTCCCATTCTGAGAGTGTATATCCACGTACTTGTCAAAATTGTTTATTCCAACTATATATAGGATTAGTGATATGTGGCATCAAATTTGTTTTTGGTTATTAAGGTGGTTGAACTTTGCTTTTTATTGACTAATTGTGCATTACCTGCCTGTCTTTTGTTCATTTTCTTATGCACCTTTTTTTAATTTATTTGAATTTTATGTTTGCTATGTATCTTGTTTTTTCTTACTTATAGTGTAGCTTGACTCATTAAATAATGAACATGCTTAGGGTTAGTCTGTGATTAATTCTTTAGCCAACTCATGTAGGTACAGAATTCTCATTACTGGGTTCTTAATATTCTTTAATCCCAGGTTTGATTTCTTTGAAGAAAACATTTAGTACCAGATGACAAAGGCTTTGTTTGGTCCTACTTAACTTGTGGGGATTTTCTTCTTGTTTCTTCATCTCTCTTTTTTCCTTTACTAATCAAGCTAATACTTGTTATTTAGGCTTTCTGAAATATGAGATATTCTTTGTTACCTAAATTTTAAAAATAATTCTATTAATGGAATTAATACTGGAATTAATTACTGGAAATTACTGGATTTATTAATCCATTAATAATACGTAATTAATGGAATTAATTACTGGAAAAAATAGATTCTCTTAGATAGATGACTGTATATTAAATGTCTTAATTATCTCATTCTGACTTCTCAAGAATAAAATTACTCCCATTTCATTCTTTTACTTTCTATTCATTCATTCATTCATTCAGCACATAATTGAGTGCTCACTATATAGTAAGCACTCTGTACTGTTCTGAGAACTGGGTTCACTCATGGTAAGATGTGGTCTGCAGTTTATTTGTGGTTTTCTCCAAGTAATCATACCTGCAAGTGCTGGATCTCTTTTCTGCTTCTATAACAAAAGATTGAAGGGAAATTTGCCATTCACTGCTGCTTTTTCTGGCTGTGCTCTGCCACCATTTAGTTGACTGTGGGCAAATTATTTAGCATGTAGGGTAGCAGTTCTCAGACTTCATGTCTTCAAGACTCCTTTACACGTAAAAAGAGGACCCTAAAATCACTTGTTCATATGCTTATATTGATATATAAAGATTAAAATTGAGAACACTTAGTAACTGGGATCGAACTCAGGACCTTGCGCTTGGGAGGCAGGCAGCATCACCACTGAGCTAAATATCTGGCCCTAGAAAACCTTTAAATGCTCATTTTTTTCCCCAAAGTAACAATAAAGCAGTGAGAAGATTAATAGTTTTAAATTTTTGCAAATCTGATTGTTCGATTCTGTTCATAAAGTCTCAGAGAAAAGGTAATGATTTTTTTTTTTTTTTGTAATAATGATTGTTTACTTTGCAGTTCCACTTCATAGGGTCTGAAGTCAAGCCTGAATCAGTTGTTGAAGAAGTTGTGGGCTTTTTGGTTTTGTTTTGTTTTGTTTTTTTAATTCTGAACCATACCCAGCTTAAAGTTTTACTAGTAGGAAAATGATGTAGTATATTGGAGGAAAAAATAGTTTATATTCTGAATTAACAGTTGAGATTATTTTTGAGCAATTTTTTACAAAGTATGTATGTTAGGTTTCATTTTAAACAGTGGAAAATAGTGTGTTGAAAGTTCTATGATGCCAGGGAGCATCAGAATAGCAGTGATGATGCTGACCTTTTTAGGAAGATGAAGTTAGCAAGGTTATGTCATTTACAAAATGCTCTGAAATTTGAAGTCAGGGATGATTTGAATTTCCAGCTGCCACTGAGCAGGTGATTTGTCCTCTTTATTTCCTCGTCCTATAAAATTTGAGTGGAGGATATTACCATCGGTCCCAGAATTTTTAGGGTTGTATGGAATTTTTTATATTAATGTATTTGATGCTAAATAAAGGTTCTTTTATTTTGGAAATAGACACCATCACTTTTTAATTTTACAAAAGAAACTGTCTTTAAAGCTCTTTCTGTTGGGTGGTTTTTTTCCCATAAAGCTTGGGGCAGGCAATTTAGACAATTTTCAGTATTCTGAAAAATTGAAGGAAAAGCAGTTTCTCCCTTCTTGTGCCTTTAAGGTGTAATGTAGCTCCATTAGTGTAATTTCATGTGGCTCCTTGCCTTTTTTTAGTCCTATGACACCTTTTCTAGCAACTTAAGAACTTCACTAGGCTCATTTTCTAAATTCTTGGGATGAGCCTATTTGTTGTATAATGTTAAAAATTGAAGAGGTTCTGAAAGTCCCCTATTCAGGTGAGACTGATGAAAAATTACTCATATAGTCAGTCCAGTGGTTCTCAGCTTTGGCTAAGCTTTTTGAAATACCTGTAAAGCTATTTTCAAATGTACCATGGTCCAGCCCCCATTTCCCTCACCTTCTCCCAAGGTTTTTATTTGCTCTTTCAGAAACCACCTAGGTGATTTTAATAAAACATTACAACACTTTAAAAAAATCAATTGTTTGGCCTTTAATATTCATGTTTGGCCTTTAACATTAACATACTCTTATTGCTGTATGTCACACTATTTCTTAGATCTTTTAGGTTGAAAAGCTTTATTTTTTGTGTGGGATACAAGTAACTTCATGGGCAATGGGACCTTTTCATTTTGAAACTATTTTAAATTAACTTACGCAATCAACTTAGTTTTCAGACTCGGGTTTAAGATATGGTGTTAAAGTTTGTAGGTTTCTATTGAGTCTTTTTGGAATATATTGAAATAAATGATCTGTGGGTTTTGGAAGCATTAATAATTGTATTAAAGTTTTGTCTTCATTATTCAGAATTTGGATTGTTGTTTTGGTTTAGGCTTTTATTTTTTTAAAAAATCTTTATTTTTCCTGTAGGTGAAAGCACTGAAAGAGAAGATTGAATCTGAGAAAGGGAAAGATGCCTTCCCAGTAGCAGGTCAAAAATTAATTTATGCAGGTATGAATTCAGTTTGCCATGTCTTGCTTATAAGTGACATTTTGAGTTTTAGGAATGTTATGTTACAAATTATAGTATGTTTGAATTGATTCTGTCAGAAGCATATAGGTAAAAGCAGTGGAAGTGTGGTGATTTGAAAGTGATACTATATTCAATCTTCTCTTTATTCACATTTGCTCCGTATATTTTTCCATCAAACATTGTTGGTTTTATTTTCTTTTGTAATCATCCTATAATTGGCTTTTGTGTTTTTAATGAAACTATCTTGATCCTATTAATTGAATGAATTAGGACCATATGGTGATTTTGTTTTATTAATGCACTCAAAATTAATTCATTTTATTTATTTATGTTTGTTTGTTTGTTTATTATTTAGGAGAGAAGGTGTCACTATGCACAGTTCAGGCTTGAACTTGTGGCAATCCTCTTACCTCACCCTCCCAAGTGCCACTGTCTATTTATTTATTTATTTATTTATTGGTTGGTTGGTTGGTTGGTACTGGGGATTATTTTTTTTTTTTTTTTTTTTTTTTTTTTTTTAACTATTATACCTTGTCTTGGAATAAAGTGTCAGGAGAGGGGCTTTTGGGTCAAAGCATTGGAAACATTTATTTAGATACTGGGGATTGAACTCCGGTCCTTGTGCTTGTGAGGCAGGTGGCAAAACCACTGAGCTAAATCCCCAGCCCCACCTATTTTTAAATAAACTACTAAAATTGACTAAAGAACACAGAAAGTTTTTTAAGTCAAGAGACAGTATAAAAATACGTGCCTGAACTACACAGTGAGACTGTGTCTCCAAAAAAAATGAAAACTGAATTCCAGGAAATGAAAACCTCCAAGGGGTCATGACTACTATAGTATCTGGCCTTCAGCTGACTGCATGCAGTCTTATGTACCCTGCCTGTGCTTTACTAAGTTCTATACCATCTTCCCTTTTCCTGTATACCATGTCATTTTTAGAAATGTTTTTGCAGTATCTCACTTTCATAGCATTGGAATATTGCTGAGTAGTCCAGTATCTGGTATTTCAGGAAAAGGAAGTTTGTTGCTATCCCTTTTCTCCTATCAAGAAAGAATGTAGGTTATTTCCCAAGGGATATCTGGATGTCCAATATTGGATTTTCTTTGTCTTCAAGAGCTCCACTTTCTCAGGATCGATTTCATTTTTCCTTGCCCAGCAATTCCTTTATATCATTAATACATTTTTAAAAATTGCTGGACATTCTATATACAGGAGATATATTTGGCATCTTGTAGTGAAATATTTATGCCTTAACTAATGTGTTCCCATTTGTGTGTATCTTTATTTTGGCTCACTAGTTCATGTTTTTCTTGGGAAAATAATTAGAGTTAATATCGGTGCTTAATTAAGATAAAGTTTTGATTCCATTTATGTGTAAGATAAAGATTATGGTGCCTTAAATAACATTTTTTTTTCCTCTGACTATATTAGGTAAAATCCTCAATGATGACACTGCTCTCAAAGAATATAAAATTGATGAGAAAAACTTTGTGGTGGTTATGGTGACAAAAGTAAGTTTGGCCTCATGCTGTCTTATCTTTATGCATGTGAGTCTTAAAAAATACTTATCTGAACTCTACATAATGGGCACAGTGTGTGTGTGTGTATTCTGTAGCATTGTGTACCTCACTACTGTTAAACTGCTGTTAAAGATGCTTTTTGAGTTTACCTTGGGTCAACCATTTAATTCATAATTTTATACATTTATAGTTTTATCTAAACTAAAACAGTTGAAATACAAAAAAAATATGTTACAATTGGTTTTACTTGGATAGTTAAATACCGTGTAATTATTTTAAAAAATGATGACCAGGACCAGGGATGTAGCCCACTGGTATAGTTCTTGTCTAGCATGAATGAAGCCCTGGGTTTGAGCCCCAGAATTTAAAAAAACAAAAAAAAAATGGTGCTTAGCAACTGAATAGACATCTTTTATTCTGTACCTTTTAATAAGGGTGCTTTAAAGGGGTTGGATAAGATACATATTAAACCTGACAAACTTCCAGGTAGAAAAGGTGTGAAATATAAACACCTTTATGTCTTTGTAAAGAAATGATGGAATGATTTTTGTGAAGAAGTTTGAACAGAAATTTTTTTGTGATTTATTGGTCTGAATTTATTTGGGATTATTTCTAAAAGTGAAACTTTTAAGAGAGAAACCATGGAGACCATTAACTTATTTACTTGATTATTTAAGTACTTTTTAAAATTAAGGCTACGTAATCTTGCAGGAGAGAGTTAAGACAAATGTAGAAGTTGTGCTACTCATGACGTTAATTTTGTTGTATTTGTTTTTTTGTACTGGGGATCAGACTCTGGCCCTTGCACTTGCAAGGCACGTGGCAGAACCACTGAGCTAAATTTCTGGCCCTAGTGACCTTAATTTAGGATTGAATTGTTACATAAGGGAAGGAACAGTGTTACCAGTAGCTTTACATTACAATGAAACACCTGAGATACCTACTTTATAAGAAAAAGGAGTTTCATTTGCTCAGACTTTTAGAAGCTGGAAGTCCAAAACAGTATGGTTCAGGCTCTGATAATGGTCCATTTTAGGGAGAAAACATGTATTTCTGTATCTCATCCATGTGTGGTCTCCTCACTTGATAATCAGAATTCAGTCATGGGGAGTCTACCCTAATGATGTAGTCTGATCACTTTTCAAAAGTCCCACCTTTAAATTCCCTGGTCAGATTGTTTCCACCCTCTTATTGCCATTAATTTAAGACTTTAACTATTAAACTGCATGAGTTGGTTGGAGGAGAAGACAAACCATAGCAAGCAGTATTACTTGGACCAATAATTAAAAACAGTTTATCCAGGACCACAAGTGGAATAAACATGAGTTTTATTTTGAAAGTCAAAGTAATTGGTACTAGTTGAAAATAATGTTAGTTACCATAAACTGAGAAACAAAAAGCAACTTACACAGTTTGTATGTGTTGCATATGAATGTTTTTAAGTCAAAGAAAGATCAAAAAGATTTTATTGAATGTAAGCACCAAGTATTCAGTCTAACAGTGTGTGGCTGTGGAAGTATCACCATCTTTTAGGTCCACAACTTGTATTTTCCCAAATTGAAACGTTCCTCAACTAAACATTGATTCCTCATTCCTCTTCACTTATCCCTAAGCAACCTACCATTCTACTTTCTATCTTCTTTCACTCTAGGTTCCTCATATAAGTGAACTCATATGGACAGTAATTGTCCTTTTTTGCCTGGCTTATTTCGTTTAGCATGGTGTCTTCAGGGTCATCTGTATTGTCATATATCACAATTCCATTCCTTTTTAAAGCTGAATAATATTTTTTCCAACTAATTTTATACGTTTTAAGGATAAATGTGATAATCAAGTATTTGTATATAATTTTTGTTGATATAATCACTTCATATCACAGTAACCTTGATGATTCAGAATGTAAGAGTTAAGCAGAAAAGATCTCAAAATATGTGCAACTCTTTGAGGAATAAATACTTAGAGCCTATTACATTACATAGAATTCTGATAATATTCACACTTGTTTTATTGTGAAGTTAAGAAAACAGGCCACGTATTAGAAGAGAAAGAATGTTCCAATAATTTGGTACTATGGAAGCAATCAGAGGACCTTATTAAGAAGAAAAGAAAAAGTTTTTTAGATTGAAAGCAAGAAGAAAAATTTCAAAAAGCAGTGGGGCTTGATTCTATTTAGGATAAGGTTCAAATAGGTCTTTTTAGAGAGAGTCCTTGAAAGGTGTGATCTGTTATGTTGACTACAAATAAGGACAATGTTAATAGATACAATACATTTTTAATTATTTTTACTCATATTGATTCTTACACTATTTTGGTATGTAAAAATAAAAATCTTCATCTTTGGAAAATTCTAATTAATCCAGAATTTCATTACCTAAGGATTTCATCTCACTGAAGTTTTAGAACTGTAGTAATCTTTATTATATTTGCAGGTAAATTTATAGAGCTAATTACATGACTCCTAGAACAAGAAAAGGAGGTATTAGATGCTGCAAGTATTTTTTAAAGGCTCCTTCTCCGTTTGTTTGTTTGTTTGTGACAAGGATCTCACCTTGAACATGCAGCAATCCTCAGACTTCTGATTGCTGGAGTATCTGGCCTGTGCCACCACATCCGGCTTCTTCCTTCACCCTTGCACTAGCCACTTTTTTCTCCAGTGTACTGTTAACTTACATCAAACAAGACAAAGACATCTTGTTGCTTTTGTAGTTGGTTGATTTATACTTGTAGCAAATTATGCTGTATTTTAATTATATCAAAAGAATTAACTTTTTTCCATAGGAAATTTATAAACTAAACAGATAGCTAATTTGGGGGGGTGTTTCTTGCTTGCTTGTGAGGGGTGGTGTTGTTTTGAGACAGGGTATCACCAATGTAGTTTAGATAGCCTTGAACTCACTATATAGTCTGTTACAGACGTGCACCACCAAAGGATAGTGAATATTAATAGGTCTCAAGAGAAGAGCAAAACTATAATAGTATGATTTTTTGTGTGTGTGGGAATCTTTTCTCTGTTTACATACATATCTCAAAATATTATTAACCTTTTGTAGTTACACTTACTAGTTAGTATCAGATTTTTTTTCCTAAAATGCAGTAGAGTATTTGACATTTTTATCAATATTCATACTTTCATTTCTAGAAAATTATACTTTTATTTCAAGAGAATTCTTTTGGTAATGGTTTTAAATGGCAATAAAGTTATGATCAGGGTACGTAAATGTTTTCAGGAAAGTTATGTGGCTTTTAAAATAGTCTCTTTGGGTTCTTTTTCATATTAACTTGCTTTGTAGGCTGAAATTGTTGGCTTAGAGACAGTTGTGGTCAATAGTTAAAGGTAAGAGAAATGCTCTTAAGAACTTAGAAGAACTTAAAGTAAGTCAGTTTGCTAATATTGGTCAATTATGTCATTTATCAAGTTACAAGTTTGTATTAGTGTTGTGCTTGTAGAACACTGTAATGGTAGTCTAATTGGGGATCACAAAATGTATTTTATTATAATTATTTTGCCTTTTAATGTACTTAGCCCAAAGCAGTGACCACACCAGCACCAGCTACAACGCAGCAGTCGAGTCCTGCCAGCACCACCACTGTTAGTTCCTCCTCAGCAACAGCTGTGGCTCAGGCACCAACCCCTGCCCCTGCTTTGGCTCCCACTTCCATACCTGCATCCATCTCTCCAGCAGTGACGACAGCGTCTTCTGAGCCTGCACCTGCTAGTGCAGCTCAGCAGGAGAAGCCTGCAGAGAAGCCCGCAGAGACACCAGTGACTAGCAGCCCTGCACCAACTGACAAGTAAGAATTGGATTTTAGGAAACTTCATCTCTGAATAGGTGCATAAGAATGTGTGCGTGTGTGTGTGTGTGTGTGTGTTTTAATTAGCATGTGTTTGCACACATTCATCATGGGGACTCTGCAAAGCTACCTAACACATCTGAATTCCTTTTTTTTTTTTTTTTTTTTTTTACTTTTGATCCCTTTCCTCTCCTCATCTCCACCCTTTTTTCCCTCCACATTTGCAATAGCTATATCTCCATGGTTTATATTTTTTTCCTTAAATACATTTTTACTTCCCACTAATCTCTTGTTCCCTTTTCCATTTGAAAAATTCTCCCTTACTAATGTCTTCCATTTTGCTCCATATTTATACTTTGGATTTCTCACACAAGAGAAATAATGTGGTATTTAAACTTGTGTTTCTAATTTATTTCACTTAAGATTATAGTCTCAAGGTGCATCCATTTATCTAAAATTGCCTCAAGTTCATCTTGCTTTATGGCTTTGTATATAAATACATTTTCTTTATCCACTTATCTGTTGATGGACGTATGGGCTATTTCCAAGATTTAACCACCATAAATTGTGTTGCTGTAAACACGGGTATGCATGTGTCGTTGTGGTATAATTTTAACTCTTTCAAGAAGATACTGCATGTATTTATTTTGAATATTTTGATCAAACTGACTTCCCATCAAAGTTTTTCTAAACTTTGACTTATCCATATTCTTACGTCTATTTTGTTAGTTTACTATAGGTAATATGCACATTCCCATCCATAATCCAAATTTTCACACTGTTAATTTTTTTAATGGAGGAAAGGAGAATCATTTATTTTTGAGTAGAAATGTTAGAAAATACAGATGATCAAAAAGAATAAGAATTATGTGATTGCTGCTCCATCATTTTTTATATTTGCCTAGATTTCTGGTTATTGTGTGTGTGTGTTAAGCATCTTTCCTCATTAGTAAATATTTCCAGTTGCTGAATAGCATTGTTTGGCTCTGACATTTGTTGGTCCTTATAACCTTATAGAAGTAATGACACTTTGGATATTTTTTTCGTCAGTTTTTTCCTTAGGACCTATCTCATAAAGTCATTATAAAGGTTAAATAAGGTGTCACATGGCATATAAGGTACACATGATGCATAGTAGCTGCTAAGAATCAGCAGTTGTTGATATTTTACCTAGTACTTTTTGTTGAACCTCTGGGTTGTTGGAATTTTTTACTATTTTATTTCTACTTTTCTTAACCTACATGAAGCTAACCTTTTGTCTGTAGAGTTCTGTAAAAAAAGAAAATGCAGAGATATTTAAAGCAAGAAATAATTTCTTGAAGAAAGTTCACAGATTACTGAGCAATTTATGGCAATGATGAGTGTGTGTGTGTGTGTGTGTGTGTGTGTGTGTGTGTGTCCAGCCCTTAAGTAATAAATGACCATAGCTAGTACTTTAGTCGGGGTTATCTTGGCTGGGAATCCCTGCTTTACCATTACATTTATGATATGCTTTTACTGGCACTCCAGCCATTTGTTTTGAGATTTAGTTCAACTCAAGACCTCAGTGGCAATATTAAACAAAGTCTGAATCAACCAGACACTGGAAAACTTGAGTGACTATAAGTGTTTGCTGACATGGAAAGTGTTTATAATACACACAGCAGTGATTAGAAAGACTATATAGTTGTGTACCTTTATTCTAGGGTGGGGGGGTATGTTGCAAGATGTCCAATGGGTGCCTGAAACCACACCAAGTACTGAACCCTACCCTACATATTGTGTCGTTTCCTACTCATAGACATGCTTCTGATGGTGTTTAATTTATAAATTAGGCTTAACAGATTAGTGACAAATAATAAAATTTACCTGTGAATGTAGTCTCAGACTGTCTGATAGTACTGTAGGCTTTGGCATCCTGTGCATCTGATTTTTTTTTTTTTTTCACTGTTAAATGAGCTTTCACCTTATCAATTAAAGGAAGCACTCACAGTGTCCCTTTGGCATATTAAATTTGCCAGTATCACTATTCTTGCACTTTGGGGCTATTAAATAAAACAAAAGATTACTAGAACACAAGCCCTATGATACTTTGACAGTTGCTCTGATATCTGAAACTAAGTGACTTAACAGGCTTAAATAGCATAGGTGTCCTGAATCCCAAGTGGGACATTTCAAGGCTAGCACAAAATTTTGCTGTTCTACTCAGAATGGCACATAATTTTTTTTTTAAATATTTCCAAAGAATGTTCTCCTGGAAGATACAGTATACAAAAACAAGCATTGCTGCTTTTTGCCAACATAGACTCATCAGTCTGGAGTGACCCATTAATCCTCTCTAACAGTTGTGCCACAATATTTTCTGTTATTTTTTCAATTCATCTAGTTACGGAACTAGCCAAAAGAGGGTAACGGCCACCTTTTGAACTGCAACCTCTCCTAAAAGTTGATGAGAAATGTCCTTACAGAAGTCAGGATCAGCTCTTTTCGAATAGTAAAAGGCTTTTAGCTTTAGCAATACACTTGATCACTAATAATTATGCTTTCAGTACAGACACATTTGATGAATTGATGGTCTTCTGTTATGGCTTGTTTCTAGATGTCCCTCTAAAGCCTTATTCAGTCTTAGGTGGGGATTTTTGAAGGTGGCTGGATTAGGGTGTGTGACGCTGCAATTGAAGATGTGATGCTGGGATTAAGAGTGCCACCACCCAAACAGCAGGTGTCCTGGATGAAATACAGTGACTACATAAAGGGACAGAAAGAAGCTGTTGGCTGAGCTCCCATGGTCTATTTCTCCTCTGCAATGCCCCACTGCCAGAATGATACATAATTTAAAACTTTATTTTGCCCCTAAGTGTGACTTCTTGGCTGCCCTAGTGTCCTGTGTTTGGAGTCATCTGGTTCATTGCTGAGAAGACAGGACAGGTTCAGGGAATATATTTTCCCAGTGCTCATATAAAACATTTTGCTTTTGGCATTCTGTGATACCATTGCCTAACTTGAGTCCTCTCTCCATTACAACTAGAAATGCATTCAGCTCTCTTATCTAATAGGAGTTCATCCAGAGTCAGGTTAAGCTATTAATCAGAAGGCTGTTGATCAAGTCTGTATGAAAGGAAGTTTACAAATTTAAGAAATTAGTTCCTTTAAATACTGTAAACTTGACGAAATGTCTTTAGTAGGGTATAGTTTGTCTTTTCCAAATTGCCTTAATCTCCCTAAAAAACTCACAGTGTAAGAATTTTGTAATTGATCAGTACAGCCTGTGTGCTTATAACAATTCAAATTTATTATTTCCACAAGCATAATATACCTATTCTAGGGTCAGGATTTCCTTTTCATATCTGCAGATGGTTGCTTAAGTTGCTAGTCAGTGATCTAGGAAGTGTACACTAGACTCCTCTACTTAATTGGTCTTTGTACAACAACTGCTTATTCTTATTTCTCAAAATTATACATCTTAGGGAAGGATAATACAGGAAAGGAAGGATGAGAAAAGCTCATAATAAAAACTGTTTAAATGTGCCTCAGTTCCTTCATGTATGCTGTACAAACTTAGTGAATAATTATCATGAGTTACCCTGGTATAAAGTATCTGACATCTGAGATGTCAGATGTGAGGGTGATCTGGATGTGGCATCTCTCACCCCATTGATCAGCAGGGTCAATTTGGCTGGCTAAGTGGGTGTCCCCTCCCTCCTTCACCACTGCATGTGTTGCTTACAAAGCTGTGCAGTCAGTCAGAGGACGACCACCCCGTATGGAGGAGGACCATTTCTTTGGTCAAGGGTATATGTGTACTGGCACTCCACTGCTAGAACCTCCTTCAGGCTCTCAAGAAGTTTTGTCTATCACCACTGGCCTAACATTTTATTATTATGGATATTTTTAAGTCAGTTTTGCTCTTTAAAAGTCACTTATCACTGTACAGATTCTATTTCTTGATATCAACCTTAGAAATTCTATACTTGTGCAAGAGAACTGTATTGTTTATACTTGAGGATATTCAGATCAACCTAAATACCCATGAGGAAGAGAATAATTTGACTTGTGGTTTATTCAGATCTAGAGAACAGTGCTGCTCAAAGTGTGGCAGTCCATAGGCAGCTGTAACATTTCTAGGACTTTGTTAGAAATGAATTGTTAGGCATCACCCCAGACCTCTAAATCAAAATTATCTGGGGTAAATCACAAATAGCTATATTTTAACAAGCTTTGGCTTGCTGAACTTTGAGAAACTTTTATGTCTTAATTACTTTCTCATCATTGAGACACAGTACCCAGCATCCAAACCTTAAAGGAGAGAAGGTTATTGACTCAGTCTACATTCGGCCGGTTCTGAGGGAAGGTGGCATAGCAGAGGACAAACAGCTCGTGCCGAGTGGCAGTATGCAAAGAGCCAGGTGGGGGTGGGGTGAGTAGACACCCCCAGTGACCTGCCGCCGCTAACCAGGCTTCCTCTCCCAACATCACATTGAGCTATAAGCTCCTCAATGTTTGGTGAGTATCATGCCGCATGATTCTTTTGCCTCCCCAAAGCTCCACCTATGAGCACATGAGGCTTTGGTGAGACATCTAGATATAAACCTAATACTTGATAACTTGATAACTAGCACTACAGAGCATTTCAAATATGTAGTATATAAACATATGAAGTGAATGGGATTTTAAGGCTTTTTTATGTAGTGTAAAAAGGTTAGGCCTACCTCGCAAGGTCTTGAGTTCAATCCCCAATACCAAAAAAAAGCAGGTTACAGAGCAATATAGACAATAAAATATAGGCCAAAAAAAAGTTCTGAGACAACATTGTATGTTTTCCTTGGATTCCCATTAATGTGTAGTAAAAAGGTTAGAGGTCTGGCGCACATTAACTGATGGTTATATTTTCTGGGGTTGTGGAGGGCAGAAGTGGTGAGGCTGAATGAAGGTTGAAAAATGGTGGTGAAAATGTACCTTCTACCTTTAATGCTTTAAAGGGTATTTTTAAAGCAATGTGTGAGAATAATGCAAATTATTCTGAAGGCTTGGTAGTACCATATAATAAAATATATTGTACATGGTAATGATTAAAACAGTTTGAAATAGATCACATTAGAAAGATTGCTCAGGGCTAGGGATTTAGTTCAGTGGTTCCACTGCCTGCCTCTCAAGCACAAGAACCCAAGTTCAGTCCCCAGTACCCCAAAAAAAGAAAGAATGCTCAGTGGAATAGACAGTAGTCTAGAAATAGAACCAAAAATGAGCTTTTAAGTAAAAATGTAATTTCAGAATTGAGAAAATGTTCTCGGGATAAATACCTCACCATCTGAAAGGGGAAAGATCCTTTGTATTGTAAATGTATAAAAATAATTTCTAGATGGATAAATATTTCATGTAAAAGATGAAACTATAGACTAGTGAAGAAAAAGGGAAAAACAAGAATAAAAGTTAGAAATCAGAGAGTACACATTCCTTAATAACACATTGATTTAAAAATTAAGCACCTTGATTTTAAAAATTAAGATATGGGCCAAGGATCTAGCTAGTTCTTCCACCTCCTTCACAAGCGCAAGGTCCCAAGTTTGATCCCTGGTAGCAAAAACAAACAAAAAATTAAGATGTAGGCCTGGGATTTAGCTCAGTGGTGCCGCCACCTGCCTCACAAGTGCAAGGTCCTGAGTTTGATCCCCGGTACCCCAACAAGAAAAGAAGGAAAGGCGGGGAGGAAGGAAAAGAAAAGAAAGAAAGAGGTGTTATGTGTATGTACCAACTCTCCTTGATGAATGTAGTCACTATGTACTGAA